GGAATCGACACATAGCTACAATTTATTTTGTGTTATTTATTTCTGTGTTTGTTATATCTACGGAGACTCCAGAGACTCTATGTGGTGATTTCTTGTAACCAGAAACGAATCAAAAGACGAGATAAGATTAACGAGAACATTTATTAGCTTACATACATCCGACTTGGATTTTACACAAATTGCGAAATTATACCCCAACTTATGCGAATTCGACTTACACGGTCATCGCTCTGTCCCACCTATTGTGTAAGTTCGGGGTATTACTGTATATTCATTTATTATATTATTTTAGTATTAAAAATCCCATATTAAAGGATCAGAATCTTATGATTAAATTAGCATTTAAATTCTGAGGAAACATAGTAATGTTGCTTCTCATTTCCTTGGAAATAGAATATACATATTTTATCAATAAAATTTTATATTAAATTATCTTCCTATGTAATTTAGTTTATAATTATAATTAAATCTTTTATGCAAATTAACCATTTTAATTAGCATTTTAATCATTTTAAGAATGAAAACTAAATTTGACATGAGTATATTTTAAGATATGTTTTCTTGATTAAGAAGATTAAGCATTCCTTTTTATTTTAAAGAAATTAAACAATGAAATAGATGAAAATAATATATGAATAAACTTTTATGATCTCAGTGAATTAGAAATATGTAAATGTTATTATCGATCAATTACACCAGCAATGTTCCATGTCTTCTCCAAACATCCAATATTTAAAAATTTTAAGCTTCTGTTATTTTAAAATGAATATATTTTAGATTAAAAAACAAACTGTACATAAAATCTTACCAATGCTTGAGTTTTCTTATTATTCAATTTAGATGGTTTGGTGTATTGTGTAATAATATTAACTAATTCTGGTTGTAAATACATCATAACACCAGCTCTTTTGTTACCAAGAGCACAGAGTGTTTCACAAATTGGTATTACACAATCATCTAAAAATAAAAAGTATTATTACAGTTTTTGATAGTTTAAGAATTTTAACTTCATCATGAATAACATAAAAATACAAATTTTTCTCTTAAAAATTATACATGCATTTTGTTTACTCTCAATATTTCTGTTTAAATCATACTTTATTTGCAAAAATGGAAAGCATAATATATTAATTAAAATTAAGAATTAAGTCNAATGTAATGTATTTTAATGTAATTGAAAAGATCCATCAAAGTTCAACAGAATTAGGTGTCTGGTTCACATGGGCAAACCTAGTTAATTTCATGTTTGAAAATCCACATGGAAACATTTGATTTAAATATTTACATCAATCTACTGATGGATTGTTCCCATAGAATGCTTTATTTAAAATTTATTCTATATATGTTGGGTTTGATGGAATGGTTGTACTACCTGATGAAGGCTTCTAAATGGGACCAAAAACATTTGTGTGATTAGTAAGTACTGAGGTTTCTGTATGAGTTATAGATAGATAATGTGAGTTCTAATTATTTTAAATTTATTATTTATACATAAAATGGTTGCTTGTCTGTCCTCTATACACTTCTAATTCCTTTGACCAATAAGCACCCATATTTTACCACCCTTTCTCAGGGAAAAATACAAACTGAATGTTGATTGCATTTGAATAGAACAAAAAATTTAAAACATTCTAGAATAAATATTTCAAATGTTGATAGTTGCACTTTTGAAGTTATGAATAAATGAAAATATAAGGATACATGTTTAAAACATATATAAAACTAATAATAAAAATATAGGAACAAATAATAATAGCCAATTAAGAGAATTATCCCAATACACATGCTTCAAGTTTGTAGCGTCATTTGGCATGTACTTGCATATATTTCAAAAAATGGCACTCCATACCACGGGTTATGGCATTGTTTTTCACCTTGTCCCATAGGACTAAGGTTCAAGTCTGAGGTTTATTTTGAAAAAAAAAATAATACATGATTTTTGGAGGTGTGACACATTATAAAATGCCACTATTACCTATTACGGTATCTTCTATTCTTTATAAATTTTAAGTAATAAGTGACATAACAGGTCACGAGTAGTCTATTTCATTTATAAAATTCATCAAACCATTAATATACAGTAATACCTCGACTTACGCGAACCCGGAGTTACACGATTTTCAAATCTCATCGATTCATCTTTTGTTTGAGTGCCATACAACTTTTGATTACTCACTTCCCCCACACTATTGTTCAGCTTACATGTTCGGACATGTAGTGCAGAATCGACACATAGCTACAATTTATTTTGTGTTATTTATTTCTGTGTTTGTTATATCTACGGAGACTCCAGAGACTCTATGTGGTGATTTCTTGTAACCAGAAACGAATCAAAAGACGAGATAAGATTAACGAGAACATTTATTAGCTTACATACATCCGACTTGGATTTTACACAAATTGCGAAATTATACCCCAACTTATGCGAATTCGACTTACACGGTCATCGCTCTGTCCCACCTATTGTGTAAGTTCGGGGTATTACTGTATATTCATTTATTATATTATTTTAGTATTAAAAATCCCATATTAAAGGATCAGAATCTTATGATTAAATTAGCATTTAAATTCTGAGGAAACAAAGTATTGTTGCTTCTCATTTCCTTAGAAATAGAATATACATATTTTATCAATAAAACTTTATATTAAATTATCTTCCAATGTAATTTAGTTTATAATTATAATTAAATCTTTTATGCAAATTAACCATTTTAATTAGAATTTTAAGAATGAAAACTAAATTTGACATGAGTATATTTTAAGATATGTTTTCTTGATTAAGAAGATTAAGCATTCCTTTTTATTTTAAAGAAATTAAACAATGAAATAGATGAAAATAATGTATGAATAAACTTTTACAATCTCAGTGAATTAGAAATATGTAAATGTTATTATCGATCAATTACACCAGCAATGTTCCATGTCTTCTCCAAACATCCAATATTTAAAAATTTTAAGCTTCTGTTATTTTAAAAATGAATATATTTTAGATTAAAAAACAAACTGTACATAAAATCTTACCAATGCTTGAGTTTTCTTATTATTCAATTTAGATGGTTTGGTGTATTGTGTAATAATATTAACTAATTCTGGTTGTAAATACATCATAACACCAGCTCTTTTGTTACCAAGAGCACAGAGTGTTTCACAAATTGGTATTACACAATCATCTAAAAATAAAAAGTATTATTACAGTTTTTGATAGTTTAAGAATTTTAACTTCATCATGAATAACATAAAAATAGAAATTTTTCTCTTAAAAATTATACATTTTGAATAATTTTCTTCTTTAATAAATTTTTAAAATAAATTTTAATTCCATATATCATTATTACTTAAGAAATATAATGCAGTTATTCAGAAATTTCAAGAACTATTGAAGTTTGTTATAAACCTAGTACAGTAGAACCCCTCTAATCCGTCACCTTTGGGACTGGGGGTATGGTTGGAACACAAAAAAGGTCGGATTATCAGAAAAAAGTAAAATAAACAATCTTCCCCTTTGTCCAGTCTTTGTAGCACTGCTAATTTTTCATTTAATGAAAGAGTAACGTGTTTATGTTTCACTCCTGACATGTTGAAAACACACACAAAACTGTACATGTACTGTACACACAATGTAAAACATATACTGTAACAAACACAGAAAAACGCCACGGATGGTGAGTCACCGACGAGTCAGGACAAGTTTTTCGACTCCGACCACGGTCGGATTAACCGGAGTGACGGACTAGAGGGGTTCTACTGTATATTAAAATTATTAATGTAATTTTTTAACTAAAAAGAGATTAAATTAAATGTAAAATTTAGTTTTAAAAATCTCACCAATACAATTCCCAATAAGAGATCCAATTGTATCGACAAACTGAGTACAGAGATCGGGATTTACTTCACATAATTTTACAGAGCATCGAAGACATCTCTATTAGAAAGCAATTTAATTAAATTCTATGTCTCGTCCTTTTTATTTTACCATTTCTGAATATAAAATTTCTTACTTGAAGTGCTTTATCATCAGATTGGGAACCACCATTCCCACTAGAAATTATCAACAATAATGATTCAATCGCACTGGAAACTTCTTGTGATAAATCTATGCCTTCTAAAATAACATCCTCTGAAATATTCATATTAAATAATGTAAAGTATTTTAGAAAACACATCATTAAGAAATGAGAACAAACAGTGCAAATAGAGAATTAATTAATCTAAAATTAATTATAATTTTTCATTATCATTATTATTATTAACTTACCTTGATAAACATATATTGCAAGATATGTTAAGAATTCTATTGAAACAGAAGCAAGTTCAGCATTTATATGATAAATGCATTCTTCACACAATTGCAATACTTTACAATCTATATAAAAAAATATTTGCTAAATGAAAAGTTCTTTAATAAGTAAATTACAGATAATAGAATTAACAGATTATTTTGTACTTAATCCGATTCATTAAATATAAAATAAAAACTTCAAAATTCTTTATAAAAAAATTAGCCAGAACAAATTATATTTACAAAAAATTTCTTGATTAGACAATATAATTTGTCCTGCCTAATTTTTTATAAATTGTATTTAATTTTTACGATTGTATATCTGTAAATTTTTTATATTTGGAGGCAGATGAGAAGCCTCAAATAAAAGGTTGACTTTGCTGTAGAATTGTTATTTCCTCAATGCATTTGAAAGGACTGAATGAAAAGACACATATTGTATGCATTGTCTAATCAAGAACTTTTTAGAAATTTTTTGTAAACTTCAAAATTCTGCTGTATATTTTGAAACTAGAAATACTATACCAGGGGTGGCAAACCTTTTTGAGCCCACATGAGATATAGTAAGCATACTTAGCTTTAAAGATGTTTATGCATACCAAAGTTTTAGACTTCAAATAACAATATTTAAATAAATTAAAGGAACACGCTTTAATTAGAATAAATGTAAAAAAAGCTGATTGAAATGAAGGATGATCAGGTGATAAACCGAGAGGATGATTGAAAAAGACAGATGATAAATTGAAATAATATGATATATTACATGCCAGATAATTTCTCCGTACATGGCACTTTGGGCACATGTTCTGTAGGTTCACCACCCCTGCCCTATACAATCCCAACCTCTTGCATCATCCTGACAGATCACAAGAAAGGTAAGTATTCCTGTCTTTTACTGCAAGACAGAAAACCAATGGATCAGGAAGATATAAAATTGTCAAATTAAAAATTTCAAAGAAAAAATAAATATCTAGCCTGCACTCATCTCTCTAAAGACTGAAGTTACAACTATTCAAAAAGAAATAACAAGTTGATATAATTATTAAAAGATCAAGTATCTCATGCTTCTCATTCAAAATAATATATAATTTTGTAGAATTCCTATCTTTCTGCATAAAGATTCTTTGACTATTAAAATAAAAAAGTGAACTTTACTAATAATCTATTATTGCAAAAAAGTGGAAATATATAAAAAATACATAATAATAATTTAATATATAATTTGAAATTAATTATCAAAAACTAGATATTGTATAAAGAAATGATTTAGTTCTATTCCATTCCATAAATATTCCATTAAAAATTTATCAGAGACTATTAAATTTGTGTTAAATTGTAGTTAAAATGCTTTATAAGTGTATTTTTGGAGGTCTGGAATGGATTAATCTAATTTACATTATTCCCTGTGAAAAAATTTATTTGGTACCTAACTGATCAATGCTTGAACAGCCTTCTGGAATACTGAGGTACATAATTCATTATTCTTTTCTTTTCTTGTCATTGTTATGTTAACATGAAGTTTACAAGCCTAAAGTTTACATGAATAAATCAAAAAAACCTAATCACAATAAATAAATAAAATAAATACAAATTTATTCTCATTTTACCTGTAACTTTGGAAAGTTAATGGCAAATGTGGAAGGTGATGGGAGGAAGAGAGATATTATTGTTTGAAAGACTGACACATTTTCTTTGTTTCAGCTGGGAATACCCATATAAAACACATAGTTGTGTATGTTTCAAATGATTACCATCAAAACTATATTGTGCATGTCTGACATGCATATGGTCTTAAATAATACAGAAACTAATATAAATCTAAAACCTCTCTTCAAAACTGCATAATAAATGAATTATAAATTATTTTTCAATAAAAGTTAAATACAAGAATTTATCTATCTTACCAGGAGAAATCTCAAATTTATCAACAGCATATGATGAAGCTAATATAACTAATACTTTTATTGCTTTGCATTTTAGTCCTAAATATGGAGTTTCTAATGCAAATTCCACAACTTTCTGTAAATATAAATATAAAAATTAGCTATTAATAATGAATGTTTCATCTATGGCACAATTAGAAAGTTTCTATCACCTCTAAATGTTTTGGTAACCAAAGATGTGAACCTTTTTCTGCTAATTGCATTAAATCTTGTAAAGCATGAAACTTCACATCTTGACGAGGATCCTCATGAAGATATTTCAACAATAATTCTACCTAAAATGTTAATTTTCATATATAGTAAAATTAATAATGTTAACGGTTTTAATGTTAAGATGATAATATATTGTGATATACTTGATATAGTCAAAAAGAAACCAAACTTTTAATATAACTTAATAAAAAAAGTTCTTTTACAGTTCATCCAATGAAACAGCAACATAACAACAAAACAAGTATTTACAAAAGACCACCTTCAAAATAAACACTTTCTGCAAATATTTTTGTCAAAATTTGTACCACTTATTAAAAGTCTAGAGGCCATCTTGCATTATCTGAATGCAATTATATTGCAGAACTTCTTACCTCTTCTAAATTTGATTGTTTTCATCTCAAAGTGTCACACAGGCAACAAAGAATGTCAATGAAAGACTCCTTGTTATTGGATTTATATTCATAAACAAACTTGTAATGAACCCAGGCTTCTCATGTAAAAAGTGCTGCAACAATTGCTCAAGGAGATAATATGTTTCTTGCTGGTGACATATTGGAGTGGTCTACACCAAACACTACATATGCTGACCTCCCCTCATGAGCATCATAAAAGTATACTATGCTTCTTGCTCATAAAATTTTATTATTTGTTTTGAAGAAAAAATGTTGTTTTTATTGTTTATTGTATTGTACAGAATATATTATATTTTATATAATTTTTTGATATTTTTAACGTACATATAAATAGACAAAATGTGAAAAAAAAAAAAACTTTTTGACACATGGCTAGGGACATGTGTCAAAAAGGGGGCAATGAACATGTTAATAAAGTTAACAAAATGAAAATACAAATATCAACATAACTACTTAAGAAATAATTAATAAAAAAACGTTCAAGCATTAAAGCAAATATATTTTCTCTTTATGACTCCTTAGTTATAAGCTATGATAGCATAGTCATAGCTTATAACTGATCATGAAACATTTTGTATTATCATCATCAAAAACACTATACAATTTTTTTCAATAATATAGTTTTCTATTCAGCTAGGAATTTCTATTTGTTTAGAATGATCATATAAATCTCATAATTCATACATAAAAATCATAAATAACTTATTAAAATTTTCAAACTGGTTTATGGAAAACCTAGGTAATTAAAAAAAACAGAATTATGTTTAATGTTCATGAAGTATTAAATATGATTTCTTTATAAATAATAATTCAAGCAAAAATTAATATAAAAGTTTTTAAAACTTCTTACAGATTCATCAAGATACAGTATTTGAAGATAAAGAAAGAGAGTTTTAAAAACATTTACATTAAAAATTTTAACTTTTTATCTGTATTTTTTCATTTATATTTGATTATGGCTTGCTACCTTACATAAAACAAAATCAAATCATTATTGACAAAAAAGAAAAAAATAGTAATTATTGATGACATATCAAATTATTAAGGAAATCATTTCAATACTGAATTAACTATTGAAATCAATAATAGTCAACAAATTTAAATAATTTCATAACAACATTAAAAGTGTATATTTCATGCCAATGCTTGAAAATATCTAATAATGATTTATAGAATTAAATATAAAAAATTTAAATTTTTAATATTGACTTAGGGAAAGCTTATAACTCAAAATACATTTGGCTTTATTAGCTATTTGAATTCACAAATTTACCATAAACCAAATTGTTATACATCAAAAATTAGATCTGATTATTAATTAAATTATCATTAAAATTAAAATATATAATACCTGTTCTGAAATATCGATTATAGAATCTGCTGCCAGTTGCGTTAATGTATGCAATGTTGCAACTGTGAATAACCAGCAAGAATAACTAGGTAAAAGTTCTATACAAAGATTTCTTATCTGAAAATAAAAACATATTAATGAAATTTATAAAAAATTTTTGTTGTATATAATATTAAATATATTTAAATTTTATAAATAATTACCATAGATGTAGTTTGAGCATCATGATGCATTTGTTGAAATACAATCAGTAATTTCAATTTAATTTCTACAGGAGTTGCTAGACCTTGTATCATATCTCCTATCTTTGGACAGATATTTGAAGCAAATATCCTAAAATTCAACAAATAGAATATATTTATAAAATTTATTGTATGATAGAAAAATTATACTATTCAGCATAATTTGAATCAGAAAAAATCACATGTAAAGAACATTTGATTAAAACAGACATGATTAAAATATCAGAACATAACCACAAATTTTTTATATAGCTAAATTGATTGACAGTAATATTGATATCCTGTAAATTTCCAAAATTTGTACGAAAGGAACTCCAACAGCAACATATTTCTTTTTTGAAAAGATTTTTAATGTTACAATTGTATCAAATTCACAGATCATACTTTTAACCTTCAGGTACATTATTCTATTTTCCAAGTAGTTCCAGCCATTCTGAACAGCTTTTCCCCATCTTGAAAAAACTGTCTGTAACCACTCAACAGAACATCAAACCAACATTCTTTGGCCACATTTTTGCTGCTGGTACAAGTGACTTGTCATCAAGGATCAAAAACAACTTTAATTTCTAACTTCAAAGTTTAATAATAATAATAAAACAAATTTATAAGTTTCAAACAGTAATTTGGTTCACACTAAAATTCTGATTTATGACATATTCTACTGTCAGTGGACAATCTACAGCTTGTACAATACAGAGTTTTTCAACCTCTTTTATCTCATGGCACACTTGAACCTATAATTAAGTTTTTGTCACACAAATTTCCACAGAAAAGAATCATGTGAATTAAAGTTATGTTTGTGAACATTCTATCGTCACATTATTTGCCACTTAAACCTAATTTTTTTTGTCTTTGTTTTTTGTGAATTAAACAAAACAGTATTGTTATTCCTTAAACTAGCAGCAGGTTACAACAATAGTTATTTAAATTAATAATTTTCATTTACATAGGAAAAGCAATTAACATTGTCTTAATTTGAATTTAAAAGTGGAATGATAATTGCCTTTAGAAACCTGTTTAATATCCTGCTATTTCTATGTTAAAATAATCTGAACTAAATATGTGTAGTTATAGATGTTAAGGAATGTGAATTTTGTATTGTTATTCATTGAAAATAGTCAAGGGCCATCACATCATTCCAAACCTTTTTTTGTATCAATTTCCACCATGTTGAAAACTAGCACAGAAGGCTTGTGCTGGTCGACTGTTCTTTGTATTTGTTTGTACAATTAAACATAGTTTACAGTCAAACAGTATATCATTATACACAATCTCTTCACTTTTAACAGGTCATGGGCCCAGAGATTCCAGCAAGTTCCTTAAATTTTATATAGTTAACTTCATTTAGTGGAGTAGTCGAAATGATGGGAGTTGCAACGGTCATACCAGTATTAGAAGCAAATAACTTTAATAACTGGAAATTTAGAATTATGTCTATTCTAACAAGAGAACAGTGCGAGGACATGATTTACAGTGATCCAACAAATGAGGAAGCTGAAAGAAAGAAATATATGGTAAAAGATGTCAAGGTACAGTCAGTAATAATTCAAGGAATATCCGATAAACATTTGGATATAATTAAGGATTGTAAAACTGCAAAAGCTCAGTTACTAGCTCTAAAAGACATACTCATCAGAACAACCTTGTTCACTAAATTGACATTGTGGAGACGACTGATGAACTTATGCTCGGTAAGAATGAAAGTCTGGAAGACCATTTTTTAAAGTTTGATACAATTATAAGAGATCTTCAAGATCTTGGATCCCAAATTGGAGAAGGTGATCGTGTTTGTCATTTATTATTCTCCCTGCCTTCCAAGTATGATGCAATCATGACGACTTTGGAAACAGTGGCAGAAGTCAAAATGAGTTTTGTCAAAGCAAGTTTATTAGACAAAGAAATAAAACTAAAATCCCGTGAAGAAAATAACAACTTGTATCTGGAAACAAATGAAGTTAGTTTCAAGGCAAACAGCAGAGATTGCTACATATGTGGTAGCAAATCACATTTTCAGGCACAGTGCCCAAAGGGCTCTCAGCCCAGGTCAGGACATAGAAAAGGATTTAGAACTCAAGGTATTTGTAATAAGGATAGTCAACAAACCTTTGATAAAGAAAAGTAAATTTCATTATATGCAGCAAACATCTGTAACCAAAAAAGCAATTTGAATAGCATCAGTTTTGTTCTGGATTTGGGAGCAAGTAATCATTTTGTGAAACAGGAATTAGAACGCCTTATGTGTAATGTTTTGTCATTGGATCACAAAGTGACTATTTATATAGCTATTTATAGTTTTAAAGGCAACTAAAAGTGGTGAGCTGCAGGCAATGTGTCAGGGATACACTAGAACCATTGAGGCACTCATAATTCCTGATATTAAGCATAAGTTGCTGTCACTCTCAAAAATGACCTCAACAGGACATTGGATCATAGTGAAGAAGGAATATACAACAATTTGTGGAAAGAATTTTGTGTTGGAATGTAACAGAGCAAATGGGCTCTATACTTTGGAACTGAACATCAGGATTAAAGATTGCCATGAACATCAGGATTAAAGATTGCCATGTTGCAGCTGAAGACTATTTGTGGCATCAACATCTTGGTCACTTACAAAAAGATGCACTGCGACAGCTTGGACTCAAAGTTTCGAATCGAACGTGCTCAACATGTTGTAGAAGGAAAGGCTTCTAAAGTCCCTTTTTACTGTATTAAAAGATGTTCTACCATCATAGGTGAACTTGTGTATAGTGATGTGTGTGGACCAATCATGCCATCTACAATTAGTGGTGAAAAGTATTTCCAGGTAATCTTGGATGATTTTTCACATTTTGTTGTTATTAAATTGTTAAAGAACAAGAGTGAAGCAGAAGATAACTTGATAGATTATATTTGAGAAATGAAAGCTAAGCATGATCATACAGTGAAAAGACTGTGAATGGATAACAGTGGCAAATTTAGTTCGAACAATTTAAAGGATTTGCAAAACACAACGGCATATTATTGAAATATACTATGAGCTACAGCCCACAGATGGGAGGAAAGGCTGAACACATGAATAAAACTTTGTTAAACATGATTCACACAAAACTCATTGACTCAGGAATACCAAAGGAGTTATGAGAAGAAGCATTAAAGAGCTCAGCCTACAAACTAAATAGACCTCCAACAAGTGCTCTTCAGAGAAAGAAAATGCCATCACTTCTGTGGTATGGATGGAATGATATCAGCAAGCTGAAAATATTTGGATGTCGAGCATAGTACAACATCCTATCAAACAAAATAAACTAGAACCAAGAGCAAAACGTGCAGTTATGGTGGGATATTGTGGTAATGGCTATAGGTTATGGATCCCGACAGAAGAAAGGATAGTAAGATCACGAAACGTACAGTTTGATGAAGGCTGTATGGAGTATACAGAGAATGAAAAAACCAGACTAAAGCAAATAGAAGAGGGGGTAGTTTCTCCAACTGTAATTATACCAAGTATTGAAGAACAAGAAGTTGATGGAAGAATAGTAGGAAACAATAACAGCAGTAAGCAAAAGGATGAAAGAGAAGACAAAATGGAAAATTCTAAAGTTAGAAGAAACACTAAAAAACCTTCCCATTTAAATAATTTTGAATTATATACTTCATATTGTTTATCATCATCGACAGAAGGGCCTAAAACATACCAAGAAATATGCAAGTCACCAGAGTGGAAGAAAGCTATAGAGAAAGAATTAGATTCTCATCAGAAACTTCAAATGTGGACACCTGTAGAATTGCCAGAAGGCCAGATAGCTGTAGACACAAAATGGATATTTAAAACTGAAGAAGATGGAACAAGGAAGGCCAGGTTAGTGGCAAGAGGGTTCCAAGTACCTTATGAAAAAGAAGAAGAATTTAGCTATGCGCCAGTCTGTAAGATGTCTACAATTAGAATTTTACTTTCCATGGCAGTATAGCATAACTGGAAACTACATCAGATAGACATCCCAACTGTCTTTCTAAACAGACACCTAAAAAAAGATGTATACATCAATGCACCAGAAGGGCTTAAATGTTGAAAAAGGACATTAAAATTGAATAGAGCATTGTACAGCTTGAGAAATGCACCAAAACGTTGGAATGACAAGTTTAACAAAGTCATGGAAAAGTTAGGTTTTTGTAGGTCAAAGTATGACTTCTGTTTGTATGTAGGTAAAAGTGCCTACTTGACTAATTTCGTTGACGATGCAATCATCACAGGTGAAGATGCAAAGATAGACAAATTAATGAATGATCTACACAAACAGTTCAATGTCAGAGATTTGGGAGAAGTCTCATTGTTCTTAGGAATGCAGTTTGATTGAGATGAAAAGGAATTAAAAATCAGTCAGTCCAAAATAATTACCCATATCTTAACTGAAATTTAATATGGAACAGTGTTGAAAAGTTGCTACACCTATGAAAATGAATTTCCATTTAACAGAATCCAATTTGAATGAAGAAATTCCATTTCACAGATTGGTGTGCAGTCTGATGTACATTTCTGTTACAAGTAGGCTGGATATGCATACAGTGTGTCGTATCTTAGAAGATATCTAGAAAGACCAACAGATCAGAAGACAGTTAAGAAGACTGTGGAAGACAGGTAAAAGAATTCTTTGATACTTAAGTTGCACGAGACATCTTACACTTCATTTTACAAAAGGTTTAGACAATCTAGTAGGCATGATTGATGCTGATTGGGCAGGAGATACAAAAACCAGGAAAAGTGTGAGTGGAATGATTGCTTTTCATGTTGGAAATCCAATCGCACAGTACTCCAGAAAACAGAACTGTATTGCTCTTTCATCCATGGAGGCTGAATATATATCAGCTAGCACTGCAGCTCAAGAATTAATGAACTTGAAAGGTATTTTGTCAGAATTTGGTAAGTGTAATATTAACAATCCTCAAAGTTAACAACATAAGTGCAATTTCTATGATGAAAATGTTTGAGAATTCAAAGAGGAGTGAGCATATTGATATAAGATACCAGTACATCAAAGACCTGTGTAGAAACAAGAAAATTTCAAAAAAATTTGTAAATTCTAAAAATAAATAAGATTATTTCCAGACCAAAACAAGTAAAATTACTTTTTCTTATCCAACTTTGAGAGATTCAGTTAAGCAGACAAACAAATAACGAGAAATACTAAATCTTTATTGCCAATAGTTCCATTTTCAATAAGTTCATACAATCCATTCTTATCTTAACCTTATAATCTTATTTATTTTTAGAATTTATAAATTTTTAAGAATATTACTGATCCATTGTTTAAATGTTACAAATATATTTGTAAGGAAATTTCAGTTGAACATGTCGATACAAATGAAAATATTACCAACATTTTTACAAAAGTTTTGGGAAAAGAGAAGTTTGTCAAATTCAGAAGTTCAATGTTATGTGACTGACTGAATATAGTGTATATGTATAGAAAGTCCTTACATATCTTAAGTACTATAAATGTCTGAAACATAGGACTGTTAAGGAATGTGAATTTTGTACTGTTATTCTCAACTGCCACAGGAAGTCACACCGTTCCACGCATTTTTTTCTACCGATTTCCGCCATGTTGAAAACTAGCACAGAAGGCTTGTGCTGGTCGCCTGTTCTTTGTATTTGTTTGTATAATTAAAACATAGTTTACAGTCAAACAGTGTATCATTATACACAAGCTCTTCACTTTTAACAATAGATACATTTTTGATTTAAAGTAAAATTTTATTTAAAATAAAATGAACTGGTGTTATCCTCATATAACTTTGCTTATAAATATATATTTTTTACTACATTATGTATATATTTATTCATTATAACAATGAAAAACTTGTATAATCAATTTAAAGCAGTTTTAATTTTGACACATACACTTATTGTTCTTCCATCAACAGTGAAGTTAATTCTTCATAAGGCTAAATGTATTCATCTAATAAATCAAATAATTTGACCAATCAACAGTCAGTAAACTTACATTGAAATTTATTTTTAAATATATTTTCTTCATTCAAGAGAAAAAGATTAAGAAGAATTTTCATTAATTTAGTTTTGTAAAGAGAGAGAAAAATATTAAATGTGTTGTTTCATATAGTTACTATTAATTTGAGATGGAAAGCATATATTTTAAATAAATTAAAAATTGCAGCTGGCATTGTGATGATGCCACAATAACTAATTGCTTGTTTCTATTTATGTTTTTGAAAACAATAAAAATACAATCTCAGTTTTCTGAATTGTGTCTTGCCCCTGTACATCATACTTTTTCTGTTAGCAATTGAGTCATGCTGGTCGTCTATCTAACTCCTTAAGGAGAAAATTTTTGAATTGAAATAAATGACTTCCAGTTTGCATCAGAAGTTTGTGTATAGTTAATCGGGGCCACCTGCCCCTAAGGTTTCCATATCTGGACTCATCTTTCATCTATCTAACTCTGTTCTCAAGATTAAGGAAAGGAAAGATGAACAGACAGTGGAAATTTATAGGTATACAATTTTTTCAAGTTGCAGCCCAATCAGAGCTTTTAATATATAAAAGATTTCAATTGTAGAATTTCATCGAATGGAAATTNCAAGTTACTACTAATTTGAGATAGAAAGCATATATTTTAAATAAATTAAAAATTGCAGCTGGCATTGTGATGATGCCACAATAACTAATTGCTTATTTCTATTTACGTTTTTGAAAACAATAAAAATACAATCTCAGTTTTCTGAATTGTGTCTTGCCCCTGTACATCATACTTTTTCTGTTAGCAATTGAGTCATGCTGGTCGTCTATCTAACTCCTTACAGGAGAAAATTTTTGAATTGAAATAAATGACTTCCAGTTTGCATCAGAAGTTTGTGTATAGTTATTCGGGGCCACCTGTCCCTAAAGTTTCCATATCTGGACTCATCTTTCATCTATCTAACTCTGTTCTCAAGATTAAGGAAAGGAAAGATGGACAGACAGTGGGATTTATAGGTATACAATTTTTCAAGTTGCAGCCCAATCAGAGCTTTTAATATATANATCTTTCATCTATCTAACTCTGTTCTCAAGATTAAGGAAAGGAAAGATGGACAGACAGTGGGATTTATAGGTATACAATTTTTCAAGTTGCAGCCCAATCAGAGCTTTTAATATATAAAAGATTTCAATTGTAGAATTTCATCAGATGGAAATTTTACAAAAATTAATTTGAAGACATAGTCAGTCTGTCCAAAATCAGTAACCACCATTTATTCACTTCTTGTGTTCCAGAATACAAACAACTGATGACCAAATGGCGGGGAATGTTATCCAGAGGCATTGTGCTTCTTCAGGATAACGCATGTCTGCACGATGAAGAACTTACTTCAGCAGTTTAAGTGGGAAGGCTTTGAACATCCTTCTTATAGCCTGGACTTGGCTCCAAGTGATTCCCATCTTTTCCCAAAATTGAAAAAATTTTTGGCCGGGAATCACTATGAAAGTGACAATGAACTGAAAGAGACTGTTAATGACTGGTTCAAGAACTTAGCGGTAACTGAGTGTGCATAAGGCATAAAAAAAGCTTCTGATACGCTATGACAAATGTTTGTATGTTGATTATGTAGAAAAATAGCTAAGGTATCATATGTGTTGTAAAATAATTTTTGTTTCATTATCTTAAATAAAAATATAAGAGAAACAAACATTCTTTACTTTTAGAATGACTCATATTTTTTATGAAAGTTTGAAGTAATTGATTATTTATAAGTGCATAAATGAACAAATATATTATTAAAATTATTTTAATATTTGTATAGAAAGGAAAAATTAGGAGAGGAGGAGTAAGGAATTTTTAAACAAAATGCATTTTTATTCTAACATTTTTTCATTTCTTCATTTTTGATATGTGAATTGAAAATCTCATAACTAATTTACTTTAACTTCTACAGAAGTTATTTCAAAAAATATTATCACTGGCATTTTGTAAGCATTTTTTAGTGTCATTAACATTTTTTTTGCATCCAAATTTTTGTAATAATTGGCCTTGGTAAGTATGGACAGGAAAACCTATTTGAGATAATTAAAAAAAAACCTTTAATTTTCAAAAATATTTTTTAGATTAAAAAGATTTAAGACTTTTAAAAAATATTATCATCATCTAAGGTTCAAGTATCATTTTATAAATAAAATAAACCTAAAAGAATCATAAAATTTTCTATTTTTTATAGAATAATTCATTCACAAAAACATAAATAAAAAAGTCTTAAAAATCCAAAATAAATATTAAATTAATTCAAAATTTAATCCTCACTTTGATTGGGCTGCAAAACGACCAGATGCATAAATTGCTGCTTCCAATTCCACTGCATCATGAGAATCTAAACTGTTTCGAATGCTATGATGAATATCTTTCTTTTCGGCAACCACACTAGCAATACTTCCGAGTGTTCTACAAAAAATATAAATTATATATAACAAATTTCCAATTAATTTAATTTTTTTGATGAAAAATAAACATATAAAATGAACTTTAATAATAAATAAATCAAACATACTACACAGACTTTAACTGAAATATAACATAACATACAAAAAGAATCTTATATAACCCCAGCAATTAACTTTATAAGAAATTATGTGGACAAATGTTTTCAATCTGTAAATAACATGGGGTTCATCTTTGGATCTTAACATCCTTGTAAAGAATGGCCAAATTCAAACATGCATATACTACAAACCAGATTGTATAGTGTTTTTCATCCCAGCAAATTCAGGTGACCCACATATATATACAAAATAACTTATTCAGAGTCCTGACTAAAAGGGCATTTACTCATTATACCATCTTTGCAGACACACTAGAAAAACTAAAGCACATCATAGCAATGCATGGTTACCGAAAGGCCTGATTCATAGTTTAGTCTGCACCTATATCAACTTGTGTAATTAGCTTATTTTTTTAAATAAATTAAGATATTTAAAACTTAATTACACCTATTTTCTAACTGTGTAGAATGAATTAGGGCAAAATAAAATAGAAAATATAAAAATAATAATATATATAACACTATAATAATAAGTTTTTGACATCATCTTTGTTAATATTGATTTCACTAGTATTACATTTATAATTTCTATATCTTAGCAAATTATATAAAAAAAGTAATATGTATCATTTTTTTCTATTTTGAACAAATAAGTTAATCATACAGAATAAAGCAGGAGTGCCCATATATTGGAGCACTTGTGGAACATGCTCCCTTTTTGTCTTAGTTGCCCTTTTCCTGATCCCCAAGAGGGCCACAAACAACAGAAAATGCATGACTTCTAGTCTATCCTGCAAGTGTAAAAGAAACTAATGAATGATATTTGTCCATTGATCCATGTAACTTCATTGTATGTTGACCAAAGTTGATTCCTTGTTTTTGAGGCCAAGTTAGCCCCAAGTGCAACCAATGCCACATTGTGAGAGCATTGATCTGATTGATCATTCCCTGTTACTGGTTTCTAGGACTTTTGTGTGTTGTTCAGATGTGGATCTGTCAGATTTTTATGCGCATGCTCCATTCAATCCATTTATTGCACATGTCCATGTGCATGCGCAACTACTACTTGATTCCAAGAATTTATAAAATTTATTTTAAACAAAATTAATATTTGATTCGCTTTTATGGTGCATGCTATCAGATCACATGACCAAGCTTATTTCAGTAACTTATTACACAAGGAACTCTTATTGATATAGGCTTTATTAATGGAAATGCATTTAGGGTCTTAATGACCCCTCTTCACTCCTTACTTTTTTTTTGGACAGATCTTAGCAAATGAAATAATATTTATAAATTACATCATACATACATGTTTACAGGGAATATTTTCAAAAAATTTTTTTTCATAGATTAGCTGATTATTAAATACAAATTGAAATTAAAAAATTGGGCAATTGACTGAATATATTATAAAATTTGCTTAAAAAAGGTTGTGGTATAAGATAGAAATAAAAATAAAGTAGATAAGTAAAAAATTAATTAAATAAAACGAAAAATTTTTCTAAAAAATAATGTAAATTGCTACCACCTGTAGATGGGTAAAATTATGAGTTGGATAAGGTTTAAAACAAATTTTTTTTAAAAATTAAACAAATTTTTGAATAAAACTAATAAATATAATTAAAAATTCGTTTTAAAAACTTTTCTTCAAAAAAAAGTTGAAATTAAAAGCTCTTAAAATCATTATAAAATTCTACAAATTACACTGTGAAATCAACATAAATTGACAAAAGTACAACACAGTGTATTATAACCAGATAGGAGAGAAGGGGGATTTGGATGGGATCTCCAATGGACTCTACCTGTCATGAAGAAGTGGTTGCCAGATCTCACTAATAGTTAGACAATCATTTAAGTTCATTTTATATTCATTTATTTTAATAATTTCTAAATGTTCATATTCAAACTTCAATTCAAACTTAAATGATGGAAACTTTTTAAGAAACTTTTTCTACCCTGTGGGCACTAAGAGGGCTTCCTTAGTGAGCTCATTATGAGTTTGGCCAGGCCCACAATGAGACAGCTGGGGTAATAAGAAATCCAGCCCAACAAATCTGGATGGACCACTTCCTGCAAAATCCTTGGGGTTTTTGATCCATCCAGATTCAATCCCAGATCCCCAGAGTAGTACACTGTCACCTTAACCACTTGATCATCAAATGATAGGGTTTATCCAGAAAAGGTTATTAATAGTGCAGAACAGAAACACTAGATAGTAATGGTATGTCTTTGGTCTCTCAAAATATGCTGTGAAACACTTGGAAAATCAATTATAGATTGAATAACGTATGTGTTACTGAAAATGCCTATGCCAAAGTTTATGATATTTCTTAGGTGCCCATGACCTTGTAATGAAAAACTTTTTGAGTTACAATAATTTATATTGTATTAAATATGTTAATTTTGATAATAAGTTGTAAACACCTGTGAATATATACATGAAACAATGAATAAATGTAACTTCTTTGGATTTTAACTGGTAGAAAAAAAATATATTGTAATGTCAAACTTAAGTTCTGAATTACAGTTGACATTATAAAATTAATCATTTTATGTCAAGTTGTAAAGGGGAAATTTAGACATTTGATTTTTTTTCTTGAAATTACTGGAAAAAGTTCTAGAACATTAAATGAGAGTATATAGGTAGAGTAATTAGAGATTTCATCACATATTTCATTGGAAATAGAGTAATAAAGCATTTCATCACATATTTCATTGGAAATAGATGCACCAGTAATGTATAACAATATGAAACTTTTGAAAGAACACATTCATGTGCTATTGCTCTATCACTTCAAAAGTGGCCACAACGCAATGACGTTTTGTGATCTCATCTGCAAAATATTTGGCAAGGACACACTCAACAGGCAGACCTGCTACAACTGGTTGAAGAAATTCAAGAATGGAAATTTCTCACTTCAAGATGAAGCCATCCAGGCAGCAATTTCACCATTGATAACAACATTCTCCTGCAACTGATAGATGATAATTCATAGTTGACCACCAGAGAATTAGCACAACTTGAGTTTTCCCATGCACTCCAAAAATTGACAAAGACCAACACAACCACAACAATGTTTCAACACACAAAGCAAAGATGACCTTAGAGAAACTGGCCAGTCTGAGATGGTAGGTTCTGCCTCATCCATGTTACAACCAAGACTTGGCACCAACTGACTACCATCTATTTCATGTCCTGCAGAATATTATTGCCAATATACAATTCAATGACAATACCTATGTGAGAATAACACTCGAGACTTTCTTCAAGAATAACATTCAACTGAACACTTGCACTGATTCTAATAAAAGAAAACTATATTTTGATTATTACACAAACCTATCTATAGACTATACTTTAAATTGTTTAGTTTAGTAAAAAAACATCACAGATTTTATAATGTCTCTTGTCATTTGTGTAACTTTTAATATGTAATTTTTTTAGACTAAATTTACTTATTTTAACAATTTTCTTTAGTTAGCTCTTAAAATATTTACAAAAAGCTTATTTAATGTGAAAAGCAATATGGCATGTTTAAAAAAAATACAGTAGAACCTCCATTATCCGGATTTTCAATTATCCAGATTGTTCAAAATAAACAAAAATTTTACGAATTTGCTGATTTGCACTTGGCGAATTACGACACTGTTTATGTACGTAATGGAATGCATAACATTTTTTGTTTCAACAACGTCTCACTCAGAAAAGTGGTCATAAACTCTTAAATATATTTTACGTTGTAATAAAAATATAACTTGACATACGTATTTATAAATAATTTATATTCAAATTACATCATTTCTATGACCAAGGGCGGCGTAAGGCATGGACGACGTGGGCCACCGCCTATGCCTCGCGGTCCGAAGGGCCTCGCGCCTCGAAGGTTTATGCATTACTTAAAAGCCGCGAACGCGACGAAAAAATTTTACTCGTCATAAAACGATAAATAGTTTGTCAAATTTTTATTCATAAAAATGCAGTTTCAACTGCTTTTTATCTTATAAAATCTGTCTTCTTGCACCACCAGAGGGCCTTTTAAACAATAGGTAGTCTGTTAGCATTGGTCAGTAGTAGTCCAAATTCAAAACGAACGTTTGTTTCTTGAAAATTTGATCACAATTTAAATACAGTATTTACTTTTAATATTACCGATATGTCATCAAAAAGAAAACGTGTTGTATTATCAAATTAAAGTATTTGTTTCGATTATCCAGATTTTTCCTTATCCGAACTACCTTCATCCCCAATTAGTCCGGATAATAGAGGTTCTACTGTACTTAGAAATTTTTTAGTTTTAATTCAAAGTACTTAAAAATAAAATAATAGGGAAAAAATGTAAATTAAAAAATATATATATCTTAATAATTTAGACATTTATATGAATTTCAATACATATCTTACCTCAAAGTCATAGCTCTTGCAACTGGATCATTACTATGAATAACAGAATAAATTCTTCGAACGAATTCGTCAATATTTAATATCTTATCTAAATGTTTTTGACTTTGCTGCATTACTTTAAATATAAGAACTCTCAAAAAATTTGATCTATGAAAAAAAAATAATTATTATATTTTGATAAATTTTCAAACTTTTCTAAGTTTAAAAATGATAAATTATCAAATATTTGTAAAAGAAGTTCAAAATAATTTGTTAATAAATAAAATAAATGATTTTGATGTGTAAATTACTTTCGACCACCTTCATTCTATAACAATCAGACTTATTTAAGTTTAAATGCAAATGAGAAGTATCTTTACACAATAGCTATTCAACTGTTAATTGAGCCATTCACAGGCCAAATTGATTAACTCCATTTGTAAATCCTTAATACAATTGTTATTATTTTCAAATTTTTCGCGTAATTAATTTTATATATAATATGTTTATATTAAAGCATAGCTTTAATATAACAATATGTAATAATACATTCTGTAATGTTTATTTAAATTTAAAGTTTAATAAGAATTTTAAAAAATAATTTATATTCTCAATTTTTATACTTTTTGTTTTGTGGAGTTAATCGATTCGGCAAGTGAGCAGCTCAATTATTATTATTAATTTATTTTCAAATAATTAATGTGTAAAATAAAAATTCTGAATGCTTTATGTCCAGTATTATGTTGTCTGCATTATCCAAAAAAAATAATAAATAAATAAATTGTTCTCTATTCAAAAAATATCTGTATTTATAGAAAATAGATTGTAAGTCTGGATGATTACATTTCAAATGATCATGTTTAAACATAGCAATATTTATAACTTAAATTTTAGTTAATCATTTTTAATTTTTATGAACAGATGAAAAAACTGTAGTTCAATACATTTTTATGTTAAATATGTAGGATTAAACGTTCTTTCTATCATTAACAAATATATTTTTATATTAAATCTGTAAATATCTAACATTTGAAAAGTAATATAAAAGTAAGATAATATTATGTAATTTATATATTTTCATATTATTAAAATCTTGATAAAAAAGTTCATTTTATAAATAAAAGAATTATTTAATAGAAAAATATTTTATAACTGGATAGATTAATATCATTATTTTCATTTCTTATTTAATAAGAAGTAAAAATAGTTATATTAATCCTTTTAGTAAAGAATTGTTTTTTCTAGGAATTCCACATATGTACATCAACAAATTTCAAATTTAGAAACTTTTGTTTTATTTAGTTTTTAAAAGAGTTATACATCCCCTATAACTTTTAAACCATCTTCTGAGCACCACAGAAGTAATTGGCAACTATAGGAAAGTGACCATATGCAATCCATTAAATGTAATTTTTTTAATTTGCTAAAAAATTAAAGAAAACTAATTCAGAAACTAATAGAGCTAAGCAAAAAAATCAAATTACAAAATGATACTTTATTCAGCAAAAACATTTACAGGAAAAAGCAGAAAAGACTAAGAACATAGTAAACATTTACTGTATTTACTCACATATAAGACAAGGTTTTTATTCATTTTTCACTGCTTCAAAAACCTAGGTCATTGTATATTAAATACTTGGATTGGATGTCACACAACAGCTGTGTTAATTCAATTAGAAACTTCAGACTAGGAGGCGTTAAAAAGAATTAAAAGGAATATTTTAATCTTTTAAGTGCTTTCAACGTAAGTATGTACGTCGTCCTCAGGCAATTCAAAATTGAAAAGAGAATTCGAAGAGAACATTTAAATTTAAGCATTAATGATATTAGCCGTTTTTGGAACATAACTATTAAAGTAAATAAAATTTAAATTTTAGAATTAAAAACATTGGCGCGCATGCATCTTAAAATAAATAAACCCTGATGGGAATGGCTATTAATTAAGATCATTGAAATTAAAAAGTCTTTTTTGTAAACATGAAAAATTGGCGCGCGTGCACCTTAACATGCATAACATAAGAGCCAATTAGAATGGCTATTAAGAACAAGTAAATTTTAGATTTTAATTAATTAAATTAAAAACATTTTGTAAACACGTATAAAATTGGCACGCATGTGCCTTAACAAAGACAGCATAAAAGCCGATCGGAATAGAGCCATAAGTGCAAGTTTACATTAAAATTTAAATATAAAATCATGGGACATAATTTAAAATACATAAAACACATGTAACATATAAAAAGACGCACATAAAAAGGCCGACACATATGTGCCTTGAACCACATAGGAGGTGCGGGAAATGAGTGTAGGATTATTGTTGATTTTTTAAACGCCTGTATAAATTAATCCAGACGTCCGGTAAGTCGAGGGTAGGGGAGTTGCATGTGGAGAGCAGTTTTGTGAGGAGGGCCTCCCAAATATATAGCAAACTCCCTTCATCACAGCGTTTCAGTATTGCCACCCGATTCCAAAATGCTATGTGGTGATGTTGTATCACCAATTTGGAAAGTTCAGTGTCGCAATTGCCAAGTGCCACCGAATGTTGGTGTTCAGATACATGAGCAGCCAGCATTCCGACAGTCACTCCTATATAATAGGTGCACAGTCCTGATATTGGATTCTGCAGGGGAATGGAGTATACACTAGATTTTTCAGGGTGGAAGTAGCATCTCTATCATTACACAAGATTTGTCACAGACATGGTTGTGGGGCAATGGGTAAACGAAAACCATTTTGCCTAAAGATCCGGCAGATCTGGGCCATGAAGCATATGGTGCACAGTATGGTGCAGTATGTAAGCAACAAAATCCAGTGCAGCCAACCCAATTTCACAACTACACAGAAGAAATTGTTCCATCTCGAATTGAGAAGATTTTACAATAGGGACCCAGGTATATCCCTCTGCCACAAAATATGAGTGCCACTGAATTCGGTGTTTAAAAAAAGTATTTTATCTGGGTCATTTGAATCATTCTTGTATATTGTTGGGAGTAAAGGTGAATAGCAATAGGAAAAAAAACAAAGCTTTTGAATTAAATTCCAGATTGAAATTCCAAAATCGCACAGGAGCCCGATATAAGTTTTAATCCATTCCCACATGAAAACAGATGATTATTCAGAAATAAGAATTCAGAAAATCTCATAAGTGTAATCAATGGAGAGTGAATTCAACTGTTAAGAATTGGCAAAAAAAAAAAAAAATTCCTGATTGTCCAGCTTTACATGAACAAATTACGTTGTTGATTTTACAAGATTTTTCCTTAAAGTTTAAAATGACAGTAATTTTTGCAGGACAATGTGT